TGGATGTGGATGAAAAACATGCATCATCTTCACACACATCCTATAAGGTTTATTCTTCCTATTGATAACGTTGTAGAATAGGTTTAAGTATGAAAAAGCGAAATGGGATACGTTTAATTTCTTGTGAATCTATGCAGTCTCTTTATTAATAATGCTTATACTGAAGTAAAAGTGTTAAAGGTTTATTGGCCACTTGTCAATATCGGATGTACTTCGTTGATCTTTCTGCAAGCAATTTTTTATGAAAAAAAAAATGAAAATTTTTCTTGACAATTTAAAAAATCATAGCAGATCCAATGGTTTGTTTTAAGCTTTAATTCACAGATTCGTGTCGCTTGTGACTATATTACATATTTCTTTGATTTTTAGTTTTTCCAGCTGGTATTCTTCAATCGCCATTTTTCAACAAAGATGCACCTAAGTAAGTTTCTTTATACATCTTTCGACAAAAAAGAAACAACCTGTTATTAATTTATTTAGATATTTAAATTATGGTGGTAAGTTTTAATGAAATAAATAAATGTAGTACAATATAAAATAAAATTCCAGGTATAGGAGCAGTTATCGGTCATGAAATCACTCATGGTTTTGATGATAGTGGTCGTCAGTTTGATAAAGATGGAAATCGTATATCTTGGTGGACTCCTGAAACTATCGATCGATTTATTGAGCGCAAAACATGCATAGTAGATCAATATAGCAGATATGTTGTAGCTCAAATCAATCGAACAGTAATGACTTAGAAACTTAATCATGCATTTTTATTTTGATTAAATTTCAGCTAAATGGGAATCAAACTCAAGGTGAAAATATTGCTGATAATGGTGGAATTAAAGAATCATTTTATGTAAGCTCTATTTTAAATTTATTTCAAGAAAGAAAGAAAATAAAAGGAATTGATATAATGTTAAGTCAAAAATTATTTTCCTGTAGTCATATAAGAAATTTTTATCAGCAAAAGATGATAAAAGTTTTATCTGGTTTAAAAAATGATTCTACTGAACAATTTTTTTTTATATGGAATGCTCGACTTCGTTGCTACCGGCAATATAATAATTGTCTGGGCTATCTTAAACAATTGATTGAAAAACAATCGCATGGCTATGCGATCGATGATTTTCGGTAGAAAACAAAAACTTTTTCTTAAATAGTTTTTGCCTATGTGTTATGTATTTCGATTGTTTGTCATATTATGCATCATTATTTCCCTTGTTGCATATATATGTGTATATATGTCTATAGGCTTATCAAAAGTGGGCTGAAACGCAAGGAAACGTTGATAAAAAATTACCTGGCCTCACTAAATATTCGGCTGAACAAATGTTTTTTATTAATTATGGGCAAATTTGGTGTTCGAAAATGACTGATGCAAATGCGTTGAATAGAATTTTAACAGGTGTTCACTCACCTGGAGAATTCAGGTATCTTCTTTTTTTCTCTTAACAATAAGGAAAAAAGAATAGATGACCAATTTTTCTTTTATTAAAATTTCCGTCTACTTCAATAGGATAGAAAAACGCAACCAATATTATTCATAAATTAGTCAGCATTGTCCACGAATCTTTAAAAGTATCTAATTGTTTGAATTTGATCTGAATTGAAGACTTAAAGTTTAGCAATGCAGTGTTATTGACTTTTTCCCTTAAGGATAACAGCTGAAACAAATCAGAGAAAAAATTTGTGTAGCTGAAACACTTTCCTTTCACCAGAAATATTTATCGAATTCCTCTTCACTGATTTCGTTAAAAAGTTTCTGGAAAGCAAAGATCCTTGTAACGATTTTTAGTCTAATCGTCACCTGAGTCATTTATTCTATATTATCCTTTCCTTATATATGTCAAATGAGGAAAAATAAAAGAGACAGCGAGGAAGATAAAGATGAGAGAGAAGAGAAAACAACCGAGTGAGAAGGACGAAAATCTAAACATAATGAGAAAACTGATAAGCGAAAACCTAATTAGTGATACATGGTCACTGAAGAAGGAAGATGAAGACGAGGGATGACAGCGGGAAGATAATGCATAGTTTATAGACAATCAATAAAACCACGAAAGAAAAATAAACGACAATATATTAGAAATAAGCGAGGAGCATCAGAATCTTCAAAGACCCGATTTCTAAAATCTATCAAAAACATTTTTCACTCAAGTTTATCTAATAGCAGAAATATTGATGAACAGAATAAGATACTTCCAATCTCTCAATAGCCTATCTTCATCGAACGACAGTCATTCTACGAATGACTCGTAAATGTCTAACAGTAAATTCATATAAATTATCATAAAAAATTTCCAAAGCATTATTGATAGAATCGAGATAACCGGCTTTGGAGGACTTGGGTTTCCAGAGACCTGTCATCCGAACATATTATGGAGACTTTACAAGATGCTTTCTGAATAGAATATTGTTTCAGTTAATCAAATGTTTTCTTGGATTTGTTCTAGCTGTAATCGTTAAGAAAAAAAAAGTCAAAAATACTTTGTTTCTGAGCTTTTGCTCACCATCTTACTTGTATATATAATTGGTTAGCAGTGCCACGAAAATTGATCCGTTTGTTATGAAATCTGCAGGATATATGTGTACTTATACATATATATATAGTCCTGTTATTCGACAGAATTGAGGACACTCTTTTAATTCCATCTTTCATTTTTTTT